AAAAGTATTAACAGTATGTTCTATTAAGTGATAAAAACTATTCTGCAGGGTTACCTCCAGAACAATATCCCAGTCAGCATATAAAAGCTATTGGTTATTAGTCTACCCTCAGCCAGCACTCTGATTCTGTATCCAACCTTTACAACAATCCTGTTTTCTCCATTTTACTACAGTCACACTGCTAACAAGGGGCTAGCATTCAAATGCAGGGCCACTGGACTCTCAAATCCATGTTGTCTGCTGTGCCTCTCTGGGTAAAGATCATTCTCTACTTAGAAAATCAACCATTGAACTGGTATCGTGTTCAACCTAGTATCATATAACAAGACAATCAGCCAAGCATTGCTCATAACAATGAGACAGTGATTTGATTTTTGTCCTTTAAAAGTTCCTAATCACTAAAAATGTGCTTTCTCAAAGTTGTTATTAAGTGGCATTGAGGTAGTTCCAACTCATAGCAATCCTGTATAGGGTTTCCAATGAATAACTGGAGGGTTTGAACTATTGACCTTGTGGTTCACAGACCAGTGCTTATTCCACAGCACCACACCAGAAGTCCAAAAAATATTATGGATATGTCCAATCTGAATTATATTACCTTTTTTCCTTATAAATTTCCTTTTTAGTCTTAGATAGCCTTTTCCCTATTTTTTTTTTTTTCTTCTGACTAAGTGTATATCTTTAGTACACACTGTAAAGCTACTATCTGGAATTTAAATACCAATGATAAAGTACAAAGCAAAGAGCAATAGAGACATGTCAGTCAGGACAAACTACTGTTAAAAACCAGCTGTAGTCCTAGTATGGCGCTGGCGGGTTAATGAGCTGGATTGCAAAGTCGCGTTGAACCGCAAGGTAGGTGGGTCAAGTTCACCAGCTGCTCCTTGGAAACCCTACACAGGGTTGCTATGGGTCAAAATCGACTTGACGGCATTTAACAACTAAACATAGGATCATTAGAGACCAATGATAGTGCCAGCCTTTCTGTGGCAACATGTGAAAGTCAAGCTGGTGACAGTAAACATTCAGTCTACTTAGAAAAAGCCCGTCAGTGTGAAGACTACAGAAGAAAATATTAAAACAGGACACCAAACCATTTTTCCCCTTCCCACTGGGTGTTTATTTTACAGCTTTTGCATCAGGTAATCAACTGAAACACTTCAGCAACAGGAAGCTGGCAAAATGTTAAGGAATGGAATGATTATCTCGCCAACAGATGTGACAAAATGGTTGTAAGTTGGAAACAGTATTGCATAAATGAATCAACTTCAGGGGTGGGGAGTGAGGAAAAAGAGAAGCCAGAAACAGAGAAAGGAATGATCATGTTCCAACATGGAGTGTGACAAAAAAGGCACTATTTTGCTGTGTATTTATAAAATAAAAGTCAAAATACACAACCCATAGATCTCAAAATTACATTCAACACTGCGTTAGAGGTGCTCTTGGACCTATCAATAGAGAGGCCACAAAAGCTGCCACAAATTCAGACAGCACCAATGTGGCTGGCTTGCCAGTAATGTCATCTTTACCATCAGGGCCTATTTTATAAATAGTACTGCAAAGGTCACAAAACTGCATGGGCTTAAATTATAAGATAAATCTAACTGATCGTCCATTTCAATCTCTAAAATTCCCACTCCAGAAGTAAGGTCCACTCCAGAGAAGCTGAATTGGCAGTGTATTTGAAACAGGGATGCTTTACCCCAGAAAACTGCCTGAGTAGCAGTTTAAGTTGGCATCACGCTTCAGCTTTGCACAGGACAAATGAACGCAAAATTTTAACAGCAATTGAAGTAGCACTAATTTATGAAGAAGCAAACTTTCAAATCAAAGCAGAAACATCAGGGCCTCTTAGAGGCGAACTCCTTCTCATAATAAAGGACTCTAGGACCATGCAGGTGTGTTTGAGAATGACCAATACCAAGCTAGATGTTTTACACAGATGTTTGAGATGTAGACTCTAAACATAAGTTAAAACACCAGCTATGCATTTGGGAACCAATCTTGTCTTAAATTCTATAGTGCCTGTAGCATTTTTATTTCATTTTATTAAAAAAGAGAGAATCATTGTCTACAAACTACTTTCTTTCTAACTATGTAAATACAATGAGCAAATCATTTGCAATATCAAAATACTGTTTGTAAATCACGGATGGCACTAACAAGTTTAGAAATTTCCAATAGAACATCTATTGTGAAAGAGCAACAGTAGACTTCAACTGACAGGCATTAAATGAATTTTTGATTAGAAAATAAAATTAATTATTTTTAAAGTCTGTAATTTTTAAGTTCTCTGATTTTCAAGACTTTTAAAATCCAATTGTTTGAGGAGTTCAGGAGCACCTAATATATTCAAAGTTGCACAAATGCATATGGATGAGAGAAAAGTAATCCCCATGCAATATTTTAAGTGTTGCTCTCAGATATATTTTAAGTGATACTTTACAGATTAAAGTTGGGTGAAATCAAAATATATCCTCCCCATTACATTTTAAAACAGTCACAATAATTTATCAACAGTTGCCATTTCACAGCAATTAGAAAACAGGAGTTGATACAAGTTAAACAAAAAGGTAGCTTTCCTCTTTTGGGAAATAAACATATATAGATATAGATTATGCACACACATACACACACATAACAACTTTTAAAATTCAAAGTGGTTAATTTACTTTTGCATCATAAAAAAAATACCTCCCTATGATCAAAATACAGAAAAAGCGCAAAGGTTGAAAACAGAAAACCACATTTGCCACTTTAAAAAAATACATTATTGTTTCAATGGTTCTATTTATTTAATTAATTGATTATAAAGTTAGGTGTTTTAAGGACTCAGAACTTGTCAGGCTCCTAGGACTGTAATGGAGTAGATGGAATTAAAACCACTCTTTCTCATACTCCATAAGGACATTAACCCACCCTAAAAAATGACAGAATAAATGCCCCTAGATTGAACTCTCACACTAAGAAAGAAAACATGCCCACCTGGAAACAATCTAAGTTGTAAAAGTTTATGAATCTGTAGGAGAGACCGCATGAATCAGAAAGCTAGTCTTTGGATATGTTAGGAGCTTGTCAAAGTATATAAACTCATTTTAGGCCACAACAGTACAGATTAAAAAATGATTTCTCCATAAATAAGGATTTCTCTAGGGTTAGGAAACTGCAGCCAGATCTGACACGTCACCTATTTTTGTAAATAAAGTTTTATGGAACACAGTAACGACCATTTGTTTATGTATTGTCTATGGTTGCTTTTGCACTACAATGACAGAATTGAATAGTTTGAGGAGAGACCTTATGACCTGCATAGCCTAAACTATTTATTCTGACCCTTTACAGAAAAAGCTTACTGACCCCTGGGGTCTAGTGAACTACGTGCTACCTTAGTTACCTAAAGAGTTAATGCTCCTCTACAAGATTTTAGTTTGTACTCCAATCCAAGAATAACTTGCACACCAAGGTTCATTAGCAAGTAAATACAAACATTCCCACCTTGAAATTGGACTTTCCTCTTGGGCAAAGAAATAATTTGTACATATTAAAAAAAAAATATTAATGAAAACAACAAGAAATGAAAAGATGGGAGGAGGGAGGAAAGGAAGGAATGAGAAGAGAAAGTCAAATAAGAAAAGTATGCTTGGCTGTATTCTCTTAATATTTTTATATTATTGGCAAAAAAAAGTGCTAAAAAGATTTTTCTTTTGCCAACATACTTTAGTTTTTCTTCAAGTTTTCAATGGTTTCTGATAAGTAGTACTTCCCCCTTCCCACCTCCATAATCTGTCTAAAATGTTTACATAGTTGATGAGGTCCTATTGAAGATTATCTATTAAACTAAGGATATTAAAGATTATTCTTTAAGAAACTTTGTTCCTAACTCTATTATCTGTTACTCCAAGAAAAGGAAGATGGTAACGAATGCATAGGGAAATGAAACTCTGCAAAATGGACCTTAGAAACCAGAGATATAAAATTGATACCATTCTGAATGGTAATGCAAAATAAAAGCAGAAAACTCCTTCAAATTTGGAGAGCAAAGATTCCCCTGCCCCTATGCAGCTAATGAAGACTGGTTCAAACTGGGAACCTTCTGAACTCAAGCAGCTGCTCATGAATATGAGTTCACAGGTGTTTTATATTTCAGTAGCTGCTGAAACAGAAGAAAAAACACTGAGCAAATATTTATCAAACGAATTTATACCAACATTAACTTATTTTTCCCAACAAGCTTATAAGTGGGTTTTATCCTTTCTTGTGCTAAAAAAACAACAAAAACAAATGAATGGTATAAAATTATGTTAAGGATGTTCCTATAATACCTTACATTTATATAGCGCTTTACAATTTTCAAAGTGCTTTTACATGCCATCTCACTTAATCCTCACAACACCCCTGTGAGGTAGGTACAGCAGGTATTATCATCCTCACTTAAAGATGAGGAACTTGAGGCAAGGAGAGGTTATGTGAATTGCCCAAGGTCACACAGCTGATAAGTGGCAGAGCCAGAACCAGAACCAGAACTATACAGTTTTCTAATTCCTTGTCCAGTGCTCTTTCCACTATAACTATTGCCTCTAATTATGAATAATGTACTGTGTATCAAAATTGAAAGGTTACTGAAGTTCATTTCAGTGATGTCTAACAATAAGTGTCAATGAGAAATACAAGAACAGTAGGTCTCAGGGTTTTACTTGACATAATAAAACTGGTAAATTGGTGCAAAACTACTTTTGTCTAATTACTTGTAACTTTTTGGTCCAAATACATAAAATATGCAGTATATACAGCCTTTTTCTTTTTTGTAAATGCAATGCTTTAAAACACATTATAAAGCACCTTCGTAAAAATATTCTACAGGTAAAAGTACACAAGACTTAGGAAAACCCTACCCATACCACAGCTCACTAATGGAGTCATAATATGGAATTACCAATATTTCCGTTTACAGCTATTACAAATAATCCATGGAGAAACAAATACTAAAATTACTTTTTTTTATATCACTGTGTGGAAGTCTTAACTAAAACTTCAGGCAATGTCAACATTCTTTGAAGTGTCTTCCCAAACTTAGATACTGGGAGACAGGAATGAGAAATACTGCTTTGACTATCTTTTTACAGTATCAGTAATGGTTTAAATTGGCTTTTAACACTAATAAGCATTTTTCTTTATGAAAATTAAAACAACCTACATAACAATGGGTAAACCCAACTACAGCAGGTACATTTCTTAGCAAACAGGACTGACATTCCAATAAATTTCATGGGACATGATTCACAAAAACAAAGCACACACTGCCAACCAGTTATTAACACTATTCAAACCTCCAGGTGAAGTAAAAAATGAATTCATCTTCACTTATGGTTAATTCAAAAAATGCTTTATCAAAAAACAGAGTACCAGAAACTTTCCTGACATTGTATTTAGCCTTTTGATTAGACCTGCTAGATGTTTATATTTTAAGAAGTAGTATAGCTTTTTTTCCCAAGGTGGGAGGTTATAACTCCCACTAAAATTTAACAAACAAACAAACAAACAAAAAACCCTGAAACTTAAACTTCTTAAAACACTGACCTAGCAGCTAGCATCCATTTCCTTGACATCATTGTCTATTTCATAACTCAGGTTAACACAAATGGTCTTAAACACCTAAAAACATTCCAGGTTGTGAAGCTTAGAACTAAGGTGATAGACATGATCAAAGTTTTAGTTAAAAAAATCTAACAGTCACACCTTGTATTTAGTTCGATTTAGGGTAAATCTTTTCATAGAAAAAATTTTGTGTGAGGATGTAGAGGTCGCCATCTTTTTCTCGAACAGCATGGGCTCTGATAAACTGGAACTGCTCTAGTGCAAATTCATAGAACTCATTTTCCATTTTCCAAATGTCAGACTGCTGCAGTTTTGCGATGGTTTGTTTAGTGGGGAGTTTCTTCTCTGTAGTTTTCCTAAGATGAGATTTCTTTCCTACTTATGAAGGGGAAAAAAAAATAGAAAAGGTAATTAATTCTTGGAGAACACACAAAAGTTCAATAGTTCTTTATTTGAAGAGGTGGTTTAAGTTAATAGGACACACTGAATATAACAGATAACATAACCTGTCTTGTGGTAATATAATTCAGACAAAAATGGAGCGATCAACTTAATTTATTCTTTTATAATGTAAATGCTTACTGAGATGTCAAACAGGAATGGTAAGGATCCCCACTCAGGACGTGTAGGCTGTCACCTCACACACTGTATTCCAAGTACTTGGTGCTTTAATACTAGTTTATTTTTTAAAATATGATAACATCTGCTGTCAAGTTTAACATTAATATCTCATAATCTATAATTTCTAGGACTTTATGTTGATAATTAGGATAGAGAAAGTAATTCCTATTATTGCATTTTGCCAAAGAACAGAAAGGGAAAAAAAAAATCAGAATTATACTGGACCAGCAGTCACGTTCAGATATTTAATATGTAGTATTGGTGAAGCTGCTGAAGTGTACCTCTAAGGTGCTAGGAGTCCTGGTGTGGTGCTGTGGGTTAATGTGCCAGACTGCAAAGCTGTTTGAACTGCAAGGTCAGCAGTTCAAGCTCACCAGCTGCTCCTTGGAAATCCCATACAGGGTCACTATGGGTTGGAACTGACTTGACAGCACTTAACAATAATATAAAATGCAAAGATGTCACTTTGTGGACTAAGGTGCACCAGACCCATACCAGGGTATTTTCAATCACCTCACATTCATGCAAAACCCAGTCAATTTATAAGCAAGACCAAAGAATTGATGCCTTTGAATTACGACACTGGCAAAGAATATTAAATATACTATGGACTGCCAGGAGAATGAACAACTCTGTTTTGGAAGAAGTGCAACCAGAATGCTCTTCAGAAGTTATGGCGAGACTTTGTCACACATTACTTTAGACATGTTATCAAGTTTCAGAATTAGAGAAAAAGAAGGGGACCCTAACTGGATTGACACAGTGGCTGCAACAATGGGTTCAAATAAGAATGATTGTGAAGATGGTGCACGACTGAACAAGGTTTCTTTCTGTTGTGCATAGGACCGCTAGGAATCAGCAGTACCTGACTAGATGGCACCTACCAACAACAACAACACAACAGACCTACTATCTGCTAACCAATATTAGTGAGAGTTCGTTCCACCAGCCCATCCCTACTCTAAATGGCAACAGGCAGATTTAAGGGTGGAATGCATAGTCCTAATATCTGGCATCCAGCTTTATTGAATATTACACATTTATAAGTTTGGTTCAGCAGTCTGTATCTTTCTACTATTTCTATAATGTCTTCTTATTCTCATCTAGAGCAGGTTTCTTCACTCAACAAATATTCTATGAAGATCTTCTGTATACCAGATACTATTTTGTATTGAAAGTGGTAAGTGCAAATAGCATTTATCTTATCCTGCACAAACCTTAAATTTACACTGTTTTCCAAGTCACAAACGGCATGAAACAGTTCATTTAAAAAGAAACACATCATTCTTATACCTGTACGGTAAAGTTCAGTAGCACCCCTGAAGAAACGGGGCAAAGCTGCCTCCAACAACATGATAAAATCTTCAAGCTCTTCAGTAACTCCCACCAGAAAGTATTCGTTAATTAGGTTATACTTGGCTTGATCCATAGCCCACCTGCTTCCCACATTCCTAAAACCAAAGGAAAGGATTAAAAACCTGGTTGAAAACCTGCTAAGTATTTTTGAAGCTTTTGACATTGTATATTAAAAAGAAAATATATAAACATATGCACATCCAAAGTCTTAATGCCCCTTTATTAATGTTATTTGGGAGGCACACCTGTTTTCTATTTTCTTTGCCACTCGTTCCAGTTTCTGCTTATCTATGCAGGGCTAAATAAAACTTTACTACAGGATTCATAGTCAATATGAGCATAATATACTTTGAAGGCAGTTTCATTTTTAAAAACTTCTCTAAATTAAACTTTGTTCATTTGAAGAATTCTCAGGATAAGGCATCCTGTTGTGGCTCTGTGGGTAAACATGCTGGACTGCAAAGTCAGTCTGAACTGCAAGGTTGACGGTTCAAGCTCAGCAGCTGCTCCTCGGAAACCCTATACAGAGTTGCTATGGGTCAGAATCAACTCAACACTAAACATAACATAAACAGTATAAGTTCTGGAAAGTGTGGTGGCTCTGTAGAATAAGCACTGGGCTGCATGCGACCCACAAGGTTCAATTAAAATCTCTTCAATAATGCCCAATATTGACTCTTCATTATTCTAACACAGGGGCTGGTAAACATTTCCTGTAAAGAGCCAGAGTATATAGGTTTTTTAGGACTCATGATTTTGGTCTTAACTATTCAACTTTAGTGTTGTTACATAAAAGCAATAAGAAACAACAAAAAATAATCAAATGGATGTGGCTATGTCCCAGTAAAGGAACTCTGGTAGCGTAGTGGTTACAAAATGGCCTGCTAATCTCAAGGTTGGCAGTTCAAAATTACTAGCTGTTCCGCAGGAGAAAGATGAGGCTTTCTGCTCCCATAAAGATTTACAGCCTCGGAAACCCTGTGCAGGGTCACTATGAGTTGAACCAACTACACGGTACTTAACAACATGTTCCAGTAAAATTTCATTTATAAAAACTAGAGATGGGTCGGATTTGGTTCCTGGATTGTAGTTTGCCAATCCCTGTTCCTAAGGAAATGGTTAAAAAATAAGAAAATATGCTTTCTAAGCTTCCATTTCTTCTCATGCTATTATAATCCTTTGATACAGTCTATTCAGTTAAGGCCTTGAAGTTCACAGTAATTCAATAATACATCTCAAGTAATGAACAAAGTAGATGGCATTCTTTAAATTTCTGATTATGGTTTTAAGGAAGATAATAACTTTGAATGTGTGTGTTTGTTTGTTTGTTTTTTTACTTTTCTTTCCTATTAAAATGATTGAATAGAACAAATAAATATGTACCACAGTTTTCAAAAATTAAATACTCAGCATATTCTAAGGAAATAAATATTTTATTAAAGATAAAATATCTTTACTTTCCACCTCACATTTATTAGCAGACTAAACCAAAAACATAACCTTGTTCAAAGTCAAATACAGTTTAATAGTAAAACCAAGTAAATAATTTACCCACTAAGCCTTTTCTTAATCGAACATGAATGGCTAAAACAGTTAGCTTAGGAGAAAATGAAGTTTATAAAATGATCCTTGCCCTCTAATTAAGAGCTCTGCTGGAATACAGCAAAACATATAATGCTAAAAACAAGCAAAAATTCAAAATCTAGCAGCTGAGAAAATCGTGCAAGGATATTATATATGAAGAAATCTTTTTTTTTAAATGCATTGAAAGGTAACCACAAAACCAGATGCTACTTAATTGCAAGTTATTTTTAGCTTGGTCCTTCATTGATTTCCTTATACCACAGGGCCAGGCAATGTTTCCTTCTGTTACTGGATTGAATTGTTCCTCACCCCCCTGGCTGCCCACTCCCCCCCAAATATGCCTCAGTGGTTTGGCAGTTAAGTAATGTGGCTATTATGTGATGATTCCCCCACGATGTGATCGGATGTGATGAACCAGTAAGAGGGTTAAGGGTGGGATGCAATAGCTGGGCCATGCTTCTCAGTGGTTGGCAGTTATGTAATGATGTAATGTTGCATCTATGTGATGCTCCCCCCCTTGATGTGATGTGATAAGTCAGTAAGAGGATTAAGGGTGGATACAACACCCTTAATCGAATCATAGTCCTAATCCAATGTAATGGAAATTTCCCTGGGTGTGGCTAGACACATCTTTTACTTAGTAGAGATATAAGGAGAGAGACTTGAGGAACGAAGGAGGGATCTACTAACAGCAGGAAAGAAGAGCTAGGTGTGGAGCATATCTTTTGGACCTGGGGTCCCTATACTAAGAAGTTCATAGATCCATGGAAAGACTGATGCCAACACACAGAGGGATCTCCAAGTAATGCTAGGCCTGCAGATGCTAAAAGGAGACGAGGACCTTTCCCCAGAGCCAGAGTCCTGAATTAGGGGTTCTAGCCTCCTAAACTATGAAAGAAGACCTGGTGTGACACTGTAGAATAAGCACTGGACTGCTAACCACAAGGTCAGTGGTTCAAACTCAGCAGTTGCTCCTCAGAAACCCTATACAGGATTACTACGAGTTGGAACTGACTTGATGGCTCTTAACAGCAGTTGTTAAGTGCTGTTGAGTTGATTCCAACCCATAGCGACCCTGTATAAGGGTTTCCAAGGAGCAGCTGGTGAGCTTGAACCACCGACCTTGCAGTTCAAACAACTTTGGAGTCTGATACATTAGGCCACAGCGCCAGCCACACCAAGACTCCAACAACAAACTATGAGAGAAAAAATTCTGTTTGTTAAACTATCCTCTTAGAGTGTTTCTGTGACGCTGTTGTTAAGTGCTGTCAAGTCTGTTCCAACTCATGTTGTTAGGTGCCACTGAGTCCGTTAGGACTCACAGCGATCCTATGCACAACAGAAAGAAACACTGCCTTGTTCTACACCATCCTCACAATTGTTGTTACACTGAGCTCATTGTTGATGTCACTGTGGCAATCCATCTTGTTGGAGGTCTTCCTCTTTTTCGCTGACCCTCCACTTTACCAAGCATGATGCCCTTCTCGAGGGACTGGTCCCTCCTGATAATACTTCTGAAGTATGAGACACGAAGTCTGGTCATCCTGGCTTCCAAGGGGCATTCTAGCTGTACTTCTTCGAACAAAGATTTGTTTGTTCTTTTTCATTATGAATGTTAAAATGTATTTGTATCTTTAACTAAATATAAGTATGCCACAGTATGTGAAATCTGTGGTTAATCTCAATAAAGAAACAATTTTGTATTCATTTAAAATGTTGCTAGTAGCCTTCTTTTATGGTTTCACTAAACTCTGCGGTAACAGTAACACTTTGATTGCTTTAACTAATGCCAGCCATTTAAAAATGAAAATGATTTTCTGCTTTTTAATGTGTGCAGCAGTAGCACTGAAGATAGCAACTTAGTTAATCCTAATGTCAATAAGGGGTAGTTAAAGCAGTACATATTTTGGGGGAGATGTAGTCATAAATCATTAATGTCATATAAATTCAGAGTTTCATATAGATTCAAATTATTAAAATGTTAGAAGAAATATTAAGGATATATTTCTTGTGCTGATTTTTTCCAAATGAATCATTTGACCAGTATAGGTTTTCTGAGGAGCAGCTGGAGGTTTGCAACACTAATCTGGTGATCAGCAGACCAGTGCCTATTCTATATTGCCACATCAGGACGCAGACAGTTACACGTAAGTTCACCGTTATTGAGAACAGACTGAACCAGCATCTAATAACAACAACACTTGACTAACACATTCACAATCCTTAGAAACAAAGTATAGAGTTAACAGAGCAGATAGCAATTTAAACTAATTTTATCTCCTTACCAGCATTCCGAGCTGTGGCCACAGAAGAATGGGATTTGAAGCCAGAGCTTCTCTGGAGCACAATCCGAGCCACCTTCAGCTACACATTCATCAAAGGTCTGGAAGGAAGACAAAGCAGACCAGGTGTGCCATAAATCCAAGTCTGGCCTATCAAGCACCTTAATATGCATTCAATAAACAGGTGAGAGTGAGTTTGAGTAAGAAACAAATTGAAAGGGACAAGCAGGTTAAGACAACTCACTTGAGATACAGAGGAAATGTTACACATGAATTTTTCTCAGGACTTTGTAAGAATTCTTTTAGTACATAAAGAAAAACCCACTATATAACACTTTGTCTTTGAAAATAAGCACTGGCTTATACTGAATTTGCTTGTTACATTTTCTATCCCCTTACCTAAGAAAATGAAATTAAAAAATTAGGCATTCTGTGAAATAATCCTTTGAAAAGAATACAAAGCAGGACTAAATTGAAGTCTTTTCTCCCTCTCTCGTTGAACAAAATACTACTGTTGAAACAAAAATGACCTTAAATACTTAACCTTACATGCTCTCCTCTTCAAATGCATCTGAGTCATTTAATAAGAAGGGAAAGCTTACAGATTTGTCAAATGAATCAACTTCACTTTGTTGAATACTTATTGTCACAGGCATTTTAATAGTTGTGTTGTTGTTGTGAAGTGCCGTCGAGTCAATTCTGACCCACAGCGACCCTGTATAGGGTGGGTTTCCAAGGAGTAGCTGGTGAGCTTGAACCACCAACCTTGCAGTTCAAACGGCTTTGCTGTCTGACGCAGTAACCCACAGCACCACACCAGGACTATTTTAATAGTATGTATCACTTAATTTGAAGGAGCTTTGGTAGCACAGTGGTTATGAGTTGGGCTGCTAATCTCACAGTTCACAGTTTGAAACTACCAGCTATTCTGTGGGAGAAAGATGAGGCTTTCGGCTCCAGTAAAGATTTACAGCCTCGGAAACCCTGTACAGCGTCATTGTGAGTTGGAACCGACTCCATGGCACACAACTACCATCACGTTACTAATTTGAGATGATGTAGCACACAGATACCTACCAGAGAATAATCCTGGGAGTTTTGGCTGGTAGAGTCCTGGTGTAACTATAGGATAAACGCTTGACTATAAAAACCCTATACAGGGTCACTATGAGTTGGAACTGACTTGATGGTACTAGTTCTGAGCCAAGGTACCTGAGTTTCTAGAACCAGGTTTGACCCTATATTTGAAATAAATCTTTAAGGCTTCCTGACCTCACTTTTCTAACTATTTATAAAATTTCAACTCAGAAAGTCCTCTCAGATAAAAATCTATGATGCTAGGCCCCAAAACAAACAAACAAACAAGAAACCCAAACAATCCTTGGAGTGGGCTATGGGACGGGCTATACTGGAATGATTCTCCTAACAACACTACAAGGCAACAGCAAGCTGCAACTTAATTCTCCATTTCTCTTACAGATGACCATCACCATCACTTAATGAAAAAAAATATCACACCTTGGGTATTGAGCCTGGAAAACTTCCAAGTTTCCATTAGTTTCTTTAAGTAAAAAATGAGGCCATAATCTTACTTTGAGGAACAAACAGCATCAGCGATGTGAAAGAATCTACCACATAGTAGGTGTTCAATAAAAAAATGTGTCCATATACATTCTATTCTATGTCTTTGAATATTCCTTTTTCTGGCCTCACTTATTGATTTTCTGTACCTTTCTAAATGTTACCATCATTATCTGCTTTGATGGCACACATGTTTTGGTCCTTCTACCAAGTATGGAGGAGTCCTGGTGTGGCGCTATGGGTTAATGTGCCAGACTGCAAAGCCATTTGAACTGCAAGGTCAGCGGTTTCAGCTCACCAGCTTCTCATCGGAAGCCCTATACAGGGTCACTATGGGTTGGAACCAACTCGATGGCCCTTCACAACAACAACCAAGTATGGAAACTTATCTCTGTCCACCTCTTCCTTAGCACTTATTCATATTGCCTTTGCTTTATTTATAACTTCTAAGCAAAGGATTCTGGTAGCGTAGTGGTTACGAATCGGGCTGCGAACCTTAAGGTCAGCGGTTCGAAACTACCAGCTGCTCCGCGGGAGAAAGATGAGGCTTTCTACTCCCGTAAAGATTTACACCCTCGGAAACCCTATACAGGGTCGCTATGGGTCGGAACCAACTCGACGGCACTTAACAACAACAACAACAAACCAAAGGACTCCAAATCTTTAACCCTAGATGTAACACTTCGTATCTATATTCTAATATCTACTTATTTTTTCATTTGAATTTCCCCATGTTAATATTACCTTATATCCAGTATTTCTGCCAATGAGATTATCTTGTCCCTTGTAGTCAAAATTAGTCTCAGAACATTTCTGAATTCTCTCTGACCTCTCTTTACATCCTTGATTAATGCCTTAGTAATGTCATTCCAGTCCATCGTCTCCTTTTCCATCTTACTGCCATCAGGACCTCACCATGTCATAATCCCTAGACTCTTACAACAGCAGCTTCCTAATTGGGCTCCCTTCCCGTCCTTCCTTTCAATCTGCTTGGTATAGTTACTAAATTATTGTAGGGTTTTTTCTCTACAAATAACATACCTATGTAAATAACACACATGCATATAACATGGACAGTGCTTACAGTAAACCAACACATGAGTGGGTATGTGGTGTGGAAAAAAAATGTAAAACATGTATTACTTGAATTTAAAATATAGTTTATTAAACAGACAGACACTTCTAACAGATGCTGGAGTCCTGGTGTGGACTAAGCACTGGGCTGCTAACCACAAGGTCGGCGGTTCAAACTCCTCAGAACCCTGTACAGGGACACTATGAGTTGGAACCAACTCGATGGCACTAACAACAACATTTGTTACTCAACAACTTTCAATGGCTTCCTTAAAAAACTTCCAAACTCTTTATCCTGGCTTTTATAAATGCAGTATGACTTCAATATGCAAGTCAAGCTTATACTCTGTGTAACTTCCATATCAGATTTGTCTGTTTTTTAGTTTAAGCATGTCATATGTATCCTCAAGTCTGCCCACCTTTGCTAACTACTTTTTCCTCCTTTGAAAGTTCTTTCCCTCTTGCCAGTCTACTTACACAAAGAACATCCCTTCAATGACAACTCTGACCTAAAATCACACCATATTCTGTGAACTTCTGTAAACTAAACACATTTTGCCTTGTAACAGTAAGTTCATAGAGTCTTGGTATGCATTCTATGAGTACATTTTAATCTGTGTAACTTGATTCAATATATATACATATATATATATATATATATATATATTTTTTTTTTTTTTTCAATGTATTATGTTCTACCTCCTCAACTACAGTGAGCGATTCTTCAAATATGGGCTCATGCAGTCTGTGTTTGTCCCCCATAACACAGAGTGCTGTTGTTGTTATGTGCTGTTGAGTCAGTTCCAACCCATAGCAACCATGTATAGGGTTTCCAAGGAGTGGCTAGTGAGCTTGAACCCACCTTGCGGTTCAAAATGACTTTGCAGTCTAGTGCATTAACCCGCAGTGCTACACCAGGACTCTAGCACACAGTGTAGTGTGTATGCAAACTGTTGGCACAATTTGGAAATGGCTACTAGAAAGGCTGGACTCTTGGAATTTATATGTATACTAAAGGCATACTTCTTGTAGATATGAAGCAGAAGCAGTAACATAAAGCATCTCCACAGTTCCTTATCGAGTTCTCCCAGGACATGTATTCAGACACGCCTGACTACAGATACTGCATTTTTTTTTTTAAATAAAAATGAAGATTTGTGGCAACTCTGTTGGACATATCTATCAGTATCAATTTCCAAACAGTATGCGAACCTTAAGGTCAGCAGTTTGAAACTACCAGCTGTTCCATGGGAGAAAGATGAGGCTTTCTGCTTCCATCAAGATTTACAGCCTCAGAAACCCTGTACAGGGTCACTATGGGTCAGAACCGACTCGACGGCACTTAACAACAACATGCGCTCACTTTCTGTCTGTGTCACATTCTGGTAAATCTTGTAATATTCAAAACTTTTTCATAGAGTTACTACACATTTAGTAGGCTATAGTGTAACAACCCCTGGTGTGCTGCAGTAGCATCAGCAATGGACTTCAAACCACAAGGTGGGCAGTTTAAACCCACCAGTTGCTCCTTGGAAGCCCTATACAGGGTTGCTATGAGTTGGAACTGACTCAATGGCACTCAACAACAGTATAGTGTACACATAAATGTTATAAGTACTGGTGGGGGGGAATCAGGTGACCTATTTTAATGCAATGTTCTCTTTGTTGTGGTGGTCTGGAACGGAACCAGCAATATGTCTGAGGTATGCCTGCATATATTTTTTAAAGTGAAAGTACGTCAGTTTATATTTATTGTTGTTGCTAGTGTTGTCAAGTTGGTTCTGACTCATAGAAACCCAGCATAGGGTTTCGGAAGAGTGGCATCATGATGAGTTTGAACTACTAACCTGACAGTTTCAACCAACCTTGAGGTCCAGTGGTTATTGTATCCTACAGCACCACACCAGTACTACAGTTTATACTTGATAAATCCATTGCAACTCTCCTTATACATAATTTCTGGATTTTACTGGATGATTTGACTTTGGTTTGCTGGCCTGTTATTTTTTTCAAGTGGCTTTATTTCATTTATACCATGTTGAGTGTAGTTCATTAAAAAAAAAAAAAAACCTCCTATGTATCTGTTTCTCTCATGTCCCAATTTCCATGACATCACTGGCTCACTGAACTAAGTGATGATGATAGATTGGAAGGCTTCTGATTTCAAGTCTATTCACTTTCAAACAGGCTCTAAATCACAGTATGTTGCCTCTGAAGCTCAGAAGAGGTGCTCTGCTTCTTATACCTCTATCTGATTAGAGAACCAGATAGAAAGGAATACATTACTAAGGTGAAGGTAGGTGAACTCACAATCTTTCCCACAATCTTATATGTGTGTGTATATCTATGGGCATGGGCACAACTCAAAGACATTAAAAAGATTTCACTTAAATGTAGAAAAGTAGGATATGAAAAGAGGTTGTAGTATTAAGAGTTTCCACAGAGC